ATTCTTTGAGAGAAAGAGTGCGATGCAGTGCCACGAGACTACTAGCATGACTCTGAGTTATAATGGTTATTCACACAGTTATTCATACTGGTTCGTAATCGGGAAGTGGCTTGTTTATTCTGGAAGGGTAGTTAATTATCAGCAATAGGGGAATCGAAAACGATTTGTGTGCTTCGCTGAGAACACATTCATTATTACACGTGCGCGGTGCACCTTTTGTATATGATCGCTCTTATGATAGCAATCTCCACTCGTTTGTTATTTATTTACCACGAGTATCTAAGTAGGTTTTCATGGAACACTGCACTTGCCTCACCGAATGGCTTTTCATTTCATTTACACAGCCCGCGGACAAATAAACCGACTCGCCCTTTGCGAGCCCGCGAGCTGGAAGCCATAAAGCAATTGTCTTCTTCCAGCCAAGATGTGACGATGAATGGATTTATGGATTTATTCCCCTCAGATAGCTCCACAGAAAGCATCGAGGTAGGTTGTTCGTTTTGTGCCTTGAGGCTGACTGTGACTGAATTGTTCAGTGAATTGTACGGGATCTTTTCCTCTTTCTCGGGATGTATTCTCTTACTAAAACGCATGCGGGGTTTCATGGGAATTTTGAATTTGTTCTGTTTCTTTCGTGCTTATCGATTACAACGAGATTCAAATAAAACGAAATAAAACGTTATAGTCGACATCATGGACATCACGGATTCACCGTTGAACTTGAGGACTTTTGAATGCTCGAGAGTGGGGTTTGATCTCAACATGATAATAGATAAATCTCATCAAACACTACAGCTTTTATCAGCTCTGGTGGAAGGTCCTTAAATCTTTTGAATAATCATTTCTACAAGTTTAATTTCAAGCCATATTTGATTTAACAGCCACAATGGATTTTTCACTAAATCATGAATACCTGTACTTTGGTTCACATTCGGTGATCAGATTGGTACAAAGTAGGATAGAGCCATAACATAGTTGAGGAGAAACAGTTTAGAATTCCATGTGCTCTGTGCAGTTGTAATATAGTTCACAGGACACTTATTTCTAGAATGAACGTGCATTTTCATGCAATTTATTCACCTCCTTTCAAACAATTGGTTTTTTTCAAACATCAGAGCCGTTTTCTTGAGAAGTCACTTCATTTGAAACATTTCGAATGGAGACAAAGGTGATTTCAGAGCACCCACAGACGACATATAGCTATCTGTTTTTCTGCTCCAGACTCTTTCATCACCGTTTGGAAGCGAGTTCCTAGTGTGTTCGAGACGTAAGAATAAACGGTAAACAACTCGGCGTGTATCTCCACTTTCCTTTGATATACATATACTACTGGTCGATTGTGATGCACTAAAATATTTTCCCTATGATTGAATTGAGTTTCATTATATTTATCACCTACAATAATACTGTATGATTTGACAATAATTTATATTTTATCTACTTCGATATACGTAGTTTCTAGTCTGCATGAGTGTCAACTAAACGTGCCTGACCTTGGCTTCCAAGATAACATGATCTTAACGTGAAAATCGCAAACTTTATCAAGTGTAAAAACGCAGTATTTTCTAATAGGAATGACTTAAGAATTTCCATAAACCCTTGTCATCTCGGTTGTTTGTTATGATGCATTTTTTATCTGACATATACTCCATCATACCAACTATATTTAACAACCAAATGAAATTCTTTCACAACCCTAGGAATTTACATTGAAGAAGGTTTCATAATAATAATAATCTATGTTTTATATCTAATTCACTGAATTCGAGAAATACCGCTTTAATCAAAGTCAACCTTGAAATCAAGGTCATTTTTGTACACAGCTTTGAATGTTTGTATTGTTGTCACCATAATGAAGCAAGCAGCGCTCAAAACCAAAAGCTCTCGCTACCTCGGTGAAAAGGACAGAAATGGAAGTGCACGAGCACACCAGCTGGGATTTTCTATATCAAATCTTGCCGAATGCTTTGGCGTTAACTAACGCACAATTTACAGTATTACCCATGGAAATAAACAACCAGAACAGTTTGTGGAGGCCGTAAACCGAGTACATCCAAACAGGAGGACCACCTGATTCGTATTACACTGAAAAAACATTGCAGAAAGTCGTTGCCGTTTAATCAACGAGGAGATCCTCCTCGCCATTCATACTTCCTTCTGCAGAGAAGAATGAAAACATTTAAAATGTGGTAGGTTTCGGCTGACGTGAAGCCAGCATTGAACGTGCAGCAAAGGCTGGCTCGTATTGATTTTGCCCGAGAATTCAAATCTCAACATGCGTCATTTTGGCGATTGGTTTATTTCACCGACGAGTGCATGGTGTGTGACGAGCCTTGGAAGACTCACAAAAAAGTCATTTGTGGTGAGAACTTTCCAAAAGGACTTATTCCACCAAATGAAAGAGTTTCTCATCCGTCGAGATTACTCATCTGGGTAGGGGTAAAACACGGTCAGTCTTGTCGGTGGACATCAGTCAAAGGCAACATGAATAGTGGGAGATTTGTATCAGTAATGATGAAAATGTTTCACGAAAAGCAGTAGTCTGGAAAAGTTATCTTTTTTCAGGATAACGCTTCGTGTCATGTTTCACGAGATTGTTGCCAATTTATTTAGCTAAGGAGTCTGATTCACTTATAATTTGCTTTTAGACTTCAGAAAAGATGCGAACCTCTAGGATCCAGTTCATGCAACTTCCCCCTAATAGCCCGAATCTGAACACGATTGAAAATCTGTTTACTGTTTTGAAGAGAGGGGTCAATGTGCTACCTGCACATTGGACATTGAAGCCAAAAGTGCGCTGCTTAATGGAGCACAAAATAGAAAATGACTTCATAACAAAGTTGGTGGATTCGATGCCGAAGAGGCTCGAAAAAGTCCTAAAGAACATAGATAGACCAATCGACTATTAGTGTACACAAACTTTACATCTTAATTATTATCAATGTTAATTTGTTGTAAATAAAAACTGTTCCATTCTCTTTGGTTACCTCTTATCTCATCATGGTCTAGGTCAACCGCTACTGACGAAATGGGAGTATCCGCTACATTCTGAACCATATCGTTTGCTGAGCATAAACGAATCGGGAAAGTCAATGCTATAAAGACTCCCCAAGGCTTGTTTATTATAATTTGGAAAAGAAATTAAGTTTAGTATTAATACTGTGACGTATACGAAACCACAATTGTTCCATAGGAACTCGTTGCTTCAGTTTCGATAAGAACTGTATATATACCCATCAAAACGATACAGAAATTTTTCAAAACTTCATATAACAAAAAGGTGTCTAAGTAAAAAAGAACAGCCAGTACAATAGAACAATACAATACAACAAGACAATAGAACAGCGTAAAGGTGGTTCATTAGGATTGCTTTGTGCCCCTAGCCTGGTGATTTATTTCCGTCTTTCGTGCTTTTGTGTATTGGATATGCAGAGAAAGCCATGAACATGATAGATGGCTGTGGAACCCGAGTGATGTGGCTGAGTGTCCCCAACAAGGACACTCAAGCACATAATTGCTGCAACCTATATATATGTATACAATTGGTTTGTATTTAGTCATATTCCCTGATGCTTCTAAACTACAGAATGCATCATCCTTCGGCCTCAGAAGGGTAGTCAGCATAGACAAACTGGGATTGTTATATCACCTCTAACCTTTTCACATCCCTATTTCAAGCAATCAACTGACTTCTCCCGCGTAGACAACAATCGATGCGGAAGGTATTGATCAGTAATGTGTAAAATATGAACTAACCGGTGAAGACGGTGTAGTGCAATCAATCTGCAAGATGAGTATATACATCAATGCACGTCGCTGAATCTTTTCATTACGCATATGGGTTAACCACTAGATATGAGTAACATTTTGCAGATATCGATGATCAAATACTGAAAACTGTGAAGCATCCTCGACACCAAAGGGCCATGTCTCGAATCTGTTTAGAAAGACTATGATACCATCTATCTGTCCAGTCAGAAGTTGCTAGTTTTGTGACAGCCCTAGGGATGCCATATATTGGTAAACTTTTGCTTGCTTCTTGAGGCTCTTAACTACTTCTAAGGGATTATTGCCAATGATGATTGCAAGAACGAGTTCCTGTCAATCTCAAACGAGTACCTTGTAATTAAACAGAACATATAGTATACTGAACTACATCAATCGATAGACAGTTCATCACAAGTTGCGTTGTTTACTGGCCTTCATCAAGCAAGATCCCAAGACTCTATGGCTTAAAAAACTGCACAAACATGGAGTGCCTCTCCAACCGATCCTAGACATGTGTAACTTTCCTTATTATGCCATAAGTGGCTGGTAGTGACCCTGGAACCTGTGAGAGCACAACTCATCAATCATACATTAAAGGGTTCTTATCACCTAGTGACCAGAATCAAAGACTCCAGCGTAAACGAATTACGTATGAAATCACTCGACGTCAGTTCCCTCTTCCCAAACGTTCCTATTACTGAAACTATCGAATACATGTGATCGCATATATAGCAATAATTGTGAAAACGGAATACAAGTTAGTGATGTCAAACATGTTTTCTTGTGCACACACATTCAATTTAAATTCAACGATGAAGTTTATCGTCAAACGGGGGTAGCAATGGGGTCTTCCCTGGGTCCACTTTTTGCAGATTTCCTCGTTGCTATGCCGGAGAATAACATTCTCAAACGAAGAATCGATCGCTGCACATTATACAAGCGATACGTGAATGACATTTTGTGCTTTTGTCGATGACAGTCTTAATCTATTAAGACTCTTAAAAGTAGTTACCTCAGTACATCCAAACACAAAGTTCACTTTAGAGAACGATGAGAAGGAGCGAACCGCGTTTCTGAACGTTCTACTAAGTCGTCGATCAGATGGAATCATGCCATGCACCATCCACAGGAAGCTATAGTGGAATAGCCAGTATATCCATTTCAAAAGTTATGTGCCACTGGAACGGAAAAGAAACCTGATTAAGTACGTAGCTACTACAGGGTGGAGAATTTGTACTGATGATACCATTGAGAGCATGCTGAAGTTCATCCGAGAGGTTTTCCTTCACAATAGACACCCAGAAACATTCGTTGACAACATTTTTAGGCATCCCCGGTTGCCAAATACAATCACTACTGTTGAGAAAAATCCAGTGTATATATTACTGTCTTTTCAGGGCGACAGAAGTGCCGAAATTGTGACACTTAAACTTGAATATAGCCGAAAAAGCGTTCCTCGTAGCACAAATTGGCATTGTATTTATCTCCAGACCAAGTTGGAACCTTGAAATCAATGATAAATTGTCTGTTTCTGTTGTCTCTTTCTGTGTGTGCTTGGTTACTCGTTCATGTGAGACAAGTTGTATTGGCTGCAAGAGCAGACGTTTATCTGAACGAGTCCCTGCGCACCGCCCGACCTAGTGGGGTGATTAGCATTATCAATAGTTCGATCGCTTCACACCAAGTAAAGTCAAACCACGTGATTGAAGCAGCTGAGGCGTTTCGATTAATCTACTCAGTTCTCAAACGTCATTTTAAGGGAAGTAGGAGTCGCATTCTGGCCACAACGGAAGCCCTCAGAATCCACCAACATAATCCCCCACTATGGTCCCAAAACAATTCGTGAGAGCAGTCGGTCTTCCATGGCCAACTCACACGACACAGTCATCCGACCACCCACGCCTATGACCAAAAACAATGTGTATGAGTGATGATGAAAAGGTGTGCAACATCCTTTCAAGGAACTGGAATGTTGGTTATTTCTCTTCTCATCTAGTCATGTTTTCTCCCTCTCACCCGTAGTAAGCTTTATGATGTCAATTTTAGTGTATTTGCCTGTAGATGAACCACCGCGAACGAGCTTGATCACTACGTTGGGTTCTTGCAAGATAATATCACTAAAACGCTCTTGATAGGCAGCCCAATTTCCTCGGAACGGCTTGATTTCATTAGGAGTTAGGTCGGAAAGACTTTCGATGGATGTCATCTTTGGTAATGAAAAAGTAATAGGAATATGGAGCAGTCCTGATTAGCGCCACTGGAAGTGATAATTACCAGTTAAACGTGATCGTACCTCGTAACTCAAACCAATATGTGCTGATATATCCACTTCCTAGTGGGACCATATACCACCCTCTTATAGCAATCATCTCCGAATTTTCTATCCCCAACCCATTTATTTAATCCTTTTGACCAAGTTATTGATTGGGACGGACGATAAAAGCATTGGTGCGTTCAAAGGTGCATTCTACGGCTAATACAACCAGTGCGCAACGCCTTTGAAAAAACGGAGATAACCGATTTCCCCACTAGAAAGAATCGACACCGGCATCGACTATTTCAAGTTTTCTGAAAGATAGAGTTTTGCTATGAGTAAACAGGGCCAGAAGATGAGCCTGGTAGCTTTTGATATTTCAGAAAACAGATCTTCCGGATCTCCGCTTTCTTAAAGTGGTTCTTTCTTGACAAAACACTATGCATACTTGTTGGAACAATTTGAGTGACTAGAAGTGAAGAGTCGTCGGAGCTGTGTTTGGAAGTGTTTCGTTCATTTTTTGAAAAGCTTTCGATGTCCCAAAGGATATATTCGTAACAGCCTGTTGATTTCCACTAGTAACATAGATGATATGGAATAATTTACCGGTGTTTTACGAATTGGCGTTCATTCTACCAGATATCGAGGTTGATTGTGATGTGGTCAAATTGAGTTCATCAAACACCTGAAGAAGGGAGATGCCGATTGGCTTATCGCCGATATGAAGTTCTCGTAACGAACAAACAGATGGTGATCTGAGAACATGGCTAGAAGACAATCCCCAAAACAGAAATCGAATCTTCCGAGACACATTGGCATTCATATCTACGGTATCAGTCCAGGAAATTGTTTGAAAACGATTGTGTAGTTTGTGGTCGCAGCAGCTTTACTGATTCCGGGCTGAAATATGTTGCCGGTACACTGAAATTATAAAATATGATAACGATATATGCGAATACCATAGTGTGCGAAACTCCTACGACTAACCTGGTTTCGCCAAACACAGGCCGAGGTGCAGGATGACCGACACAACCCAGTCATTTATCAGTTGTAAAAAAATATTTCACTAGATCTTAGTCGTTATTCAGTCACTGTGTGCCTTCGGGAACACTAACCTCTGACGATGGTCTTGTAGGAATATGGGGAAAGGCTTTTAGTGTTCATGATTTTGTGCCAATCGCCGAGGTTATTGCCAGGTATCGTACGCCATATCTATCTATCTATCTATCTATCCATCTATCTATCTATCTATCTATTTATTTATTTATCTATCTATCTAGCTGTGTTCATGTGCTGGTATATGTTTGACGCGGTTTTTTCCGGCATTATTTCGTCATCAGCTTTGCATATTTTGTCGTTGAACGTTAACGGAGTTCAGTTCTACAGAACACAGTCTGACGCTATGAATCGACTAGCTGGTGTGTGGCTTTTTCCATAACATTCACTGGATGCAACGAAATAATCTGACTAGGCTTGAAGTTTTGGCATCACTGATCTATGCTGTAATCCTTGATGTAACGCAACTGATTCCGTTTGCTCATAACGGTGTCAATCTCGTTTTATCGACGATTGCCACACTTCATGGGCAGTTATCATTTGTGATAAATTAAAACTAATCGTTCTGACTAAATTACGTAGATTATCGGTCACGTGACAACTGATTGCTTTTGAATCTGAAGTTCTCATGCACCAGTTTGGGATGCTTCGATTCCAATGGCGTACAATTTCACTTATTTAAAAGCATCATGTGACAACTATTTCGGTAGTCGATTCTTTTCACGTACATTTGTTCTCATCATGTTTAACTTATTGTGGTATCTCAAGACAGTGACATCCTTTTACAAACTGTTGGTAACGTGCTGACAAAAAATACACTGTTATAAAATAAATCAAACGTGAAGAACTCCTTTATGTGAGAAGGAGTATTATAAAAATGACTAAGTGTATACATAGTGTGCGCTAAACTCATGGGCACAGTTCAGTTCTTCTACCCAGCTTCTTCACTGAGAACACCACCACAGCGGTCACCAAAGCTATGATCCATCAAAATATAATAGAATATCAAATATTTAAGTGAATATCAAGATAATATTGAAGAGCGTGTATAAATAAGGCGCAGAAAAAGTTTTAGGAAGTTCAATTCTAATGCAAAGGATTTTAACCCAGTTGAGAATAACTCATTCCCTTTGCTCCAAAATAGCAAAAAGTCATTTTTACCTACGGCTCGTTAGCGTTTTTCAACCCCTGATGCTAATATTTTCCCACGGTGGTTAACGTAAACTTGAGTTCAGTAAGAAGCTAGAGGATTTAGTTTTCGGCATACTCACACATTTAAAAAATCTCACAGGTACTCATGTGAATTGAACTCAAGATTGTGGGGGGCCAGTCCAAACAAGGGTTGCATGAATATTACTGATAGGTATTGTACGTACAAACGAGTGTTGCGGTGTTGTTTTGTTGAAGTGATGCTTCTCCGCCCATGTTCTTTGAGATCAATAACAAGAGAAATCATTCGAACGTGTTTGTAATCGTGGCTGTAATCCAGAATTATTGACTAAATCAAATCGACTGCAAAAAAGAAACAATCGTTTATTGCTATGTTGCCCGTTAATACGATTTATTCCTATGTGTGAACATGCTCATAGCAATGCAACTTCGAAATTCACCACACACATTCTAGTCAAGAGGTATCATTTCCACTCCTCAATGAGTCCATAAATGTGGCTCTGAGTCCCTTTCAATCGATGCGGAATCTGACACTGAGAAACAAACTTTGTCTGGTCTTCCTATACTTCGGTAGGAAGGTTTGCCGATGCATCCGCTTCCCAGTTCCCATTTAAATTGGCAGTCCAAACTTCATCTCATGTGATATGGCAATGATGTAGCTGTGGATAGTATAACCTGAAGTTTCATTCTCTCGGTCAAACGTCTGGATGCTTTTCTTACAGCTTTTCGGGAAATGGTGGTAATTAGGTCACGATGAGCCACCATTTTCAGTATTTCTTTAAACATGTGTGGGGGAAGGCAAACGCTAATACCGAACTGTTTTAATGTCAACTTCTTCATGTTCTCTGATAGTGGCTATTGTCGCCCTTGTCAGACCAAAATGACAAGAGTACTAGCCTCATCCAGTAGTATTGGATATTCAGTCGTCACATGATTTTAGATAGGCTAATAAAAATAAACAATCACAGATTGCCATTATCGATTTTGTATGAGCATCACCAAAGACCAGAATACAACGCATGGACTAAGGAGGCACCTTGGTCGGAATATCCCTCTAACTTTTGACACTTCATTTTGAAATATTTGGTAATGAAAGTTCCCGGTTCAGTGGTATGCCAAATAATCATGCAGCAAAAATAATTATTTTGAATTTTTTTATGGCGAAATTAACCAGAAAAGGTTTACCGTCCCAGTATATCCTTTGGGCTTGCAATTATCATCATTCATTACCGTATGTATTCCGAGAAAACTGACCGAATGTCGAGCAGTGCGCTTCGTGCATCCAGCAAGTTTTTTTCACTTTTGTACCTTCATTTTGCATGCTGATAAATATTCTGAACACGTTATCGTAATTAACTAGTATTTAGGAATCTCTGTTTGCTCGTAAGCAAATTAACAACCGCGTTAGAAAAACCTTCGATAGACACTGTGGCGATTCAGAATTAGGTTTCATGAGCATCACTGAGATCGCTAAATCAATATGTGAATAGAATCTGAGCGTGTTATCTCAACACTCGTCTGCAAGACAGGATGGACTTTGTGGAAAAACTAGACTAATTAACTGAAACATTGCATTGTGATAAATCTTGACGAAAGGATATCCGTTTTGCTACATCAGGCATGTGTTGCTGCCCTTTTGCTCTGTTCAGTTTTTCAAATCTACTGAAGCCCTAAATAATATCAGACGCCGCGAAAGTTCCCGTCGCTCACGAGGAAATGAGAATTGGAGTGAACCGTCTTCCATCTCAAACGCGCAAGGGATCCGGATGCAACCATTGAACAGTTTCGAAGTTTCCCGGAGATTAGAACAATATCTACCTCGGGCGAATCCAACAGACGCGACGAGGAACAAAGTAATCGACCAGCAGTTTTACACTGGATCGAATAGAGACAAACCAAACGGAATCCGATTGATTCATGCTCCGTCGATCAAATCTCGTGAAGTAATCATCAGAGACTCGGTTGATTCACGTAGTCCAAAATATAAGCGTACCTCCCGTATTATAATACAAAAACAGCTTCCTTCACAGAATGGGTTGCACCTCGGTTGGCTTAAACAAACAGATCGGAAAGCCGCCTCCATTGAACACTTATCAGTCAAACCTGGGCAGACGGATCACAAATCACCACGTCTTACCATTATAGACCATTCTTTGTCATCTCCGGAACGCGCAAAACGTGGAAGGGGCACATTGGATTCAGTTGCCTCCAACCATCAACAACTCAGCCTACATCCGCAACGTTTGGGTGGAGCGGAAACTTCCAAAGTGAAAACATTTGAGGTTTGTTTCCGTTACATTTCGCAACTGCCGAAGTTTTCCTTATTCACTTGTTCCAATTTGTGGGAAACGACATATCATAGCATGATTACGAAGTTGCAAAAGTTACTGCGAGGTATATATATATATTTGAATATATATAATTATACTCGTTTGAGTCCGAACTGTTTGCCAAACAAATCACAGTACAATCTTTGCAAAAAGAAAGAAAAAAGTTCCATGATTTGCTTATGGGTCTGATACTGCCAGGTTGCCCAAGTCAAAGCAGGCTAGTTGACTGGAGCCTTTGACTAACCAAAGCATAATCCGCAAGACAACGGGGCGGTGTTTCAAAACCACAGTCTATTGGTGGTCAGTGTGCCCTTCAACGTACCACATGCCCTTCGGACGTTGTCAAGCGTTCAAAGCGCCCAATCGAACCGGCGGCTACTACCACAATGATGTGTGTGGATTGTACGTTTCTTCTTGGTTGGCTTCGAATGAGGATTTTTAGTCAACTCCACTAGGCGAACTGCCAGCAGTTCATCGTCCTGGTTATAATCTCGGATGTTGGATTTGGTCCTCTCACTTCGGTGGAAAAACACCTCCACCAAGGGAAGGTAGTGAATAGGGCTTCCTCGGCAGAGCGTATTTTAAACGCTTGTTCGCAAAGGGCATTTTACGAAGTGCAAGTGACCACACACTTATGCCAAGTTTCTTGCGGTTAGCAGCATCTAACCCAACTTTTATGTTCAAACAAATACACCGGGTGTTGCAAATCAGACATTGGTTCGAATGTACACTTCTTGGGTACAATTAGATGGATGACCCGACCAAGGATTAAAGGATATGTATGCCCGACTTAGGACAAGAACGGAGAAATAGGTGGTGTCTTTCCAGGGAAATGTTATGCAGTCATTCAGATACTATCAAGCGCATCGGCGCACAAACGCCATTTCGCGTGATCCTGTAGTGTTACTGAGTATTGATAAGGGTGGTCAGGTTAAACTAAGCTTTATGCACTCGAAGGTTGAATTTTCAGCCATTTTCATGAGAGTAGAGTGGAGGTGGGAAAAGTGCAAAAAGTGTGAAGGGGAAAAAACAAAAGAGGCAGTGCTCCGAGAGCAAGAAGACGACAGTAATAGTTAAAAAAATAAATGTATAAACTAACTCATGAGATGTTCCACCAGACCTGTAACAATTCGTGCCCGGTTCACAGAAGTCGGGCAAGATATGGGAAGATGTTGTTTCTGTATGTGGATAGGACAACACCGAGTCAGCATTCAGTGACTGCTAAAGGCGGGCTCCGGTAAATCATTAAAAGTAGCTTAATAATGGGAGCCAGATGTAAGGTTGAAGGGAACATCAACACATTTGGAAATATTAGGCATAAGCTATCGGGGCAGGGACCAACTAAAAACGTCTTTTAGACTTTCATGAAGTGGAACGATACATCGTTATTGGAAGGGTACCCAATTACCATACAGTTACTAAAGTTGGTAGCTATAGTCAGCTTTTTTATGCACAGGGAAAGAGGATAGACAAAATGGCTCCCTGGAAGAAATCAGAGGTAAAGTAAGAAGAGGACGAAATTTTACCATTGTATGAGGTAAACTGCAACCTAATAGAGAAGTAAGTTTATAAGAACATTTAACTTGTCGGATCCTAAACCGCAGTCAGCAATACTTTGAATGAGAATGCGGCGGTTCAGTGAACCAAAAGCGTTGGCATATTAGAGGAAATAAGGCGAACACCATTCCTATCTAAAACTGAGACCACAGAATAGCAGCATACGCGACGATATCAACAGTCGTAAGGGGATGTTTATAAGCAGAGGATCGAGAACATCAGAGAAGGTAATCATTTGGTTCAAAAGCGTTTTCAAAACTTTCTACAGGGCTGAGGTATAAGCAGTTGGCCGATAATTTGAAAAACCCTTTTTGGGAATGGGTCTTATCCCGGCAGCTCTCTAGCAATCAGGGATTGTTCCAAAGGACATAAACAGATTGATCTCGCAACGGGTGCTGCAAAGAGTTTGATACAGGTTTTCAATAAAATGGGAGCTAATTATTCCGTTCCATGGGCTTTGTTAGACCACGGTTGCTTCAAAACGTTAAGAACCACAGTCAGAGAAACAGAGTTGATGTTTTCAGAGGGATTGGAAGCAGAAGGTAGAGAATTGGAGGAGGCAGAAAATTGTAAATGTAGGAATTCTACGTCAGGATAGGAGCTGCCACATGTGCCACAGTGTTGCTTCAAAACCGACAACAATGTTCTCACTGCTCTGGTTGCTCAGAACGGTCTCGACATACACCCGATTTAAGCGCTGAATCTCAGCCTTGATGAGAATCGATAATCGTTTAACATCGTTGCGCCTGCCATTCATTTGTCTTTTCCTTATCACTGCAAAGCCGTTTTATAAGAGGCGATTTAAGTCTATCAGAACGGAAATAAACAGTCTCGATGCGGCAACATAAATGAAACAAATGAAGATAACCGGTGAGGTGTCCGCATCTGGAAGCATTAATGGAATTGAAGAAAGCAAAATATCAGTTGAGGAAATCATTACTTGGAGTCTGGATAGGCTATCGGGGTTACAATTCCGCCTCTTTATTGTCCGGGACACTACCTGCGCTTGCTGACGGTGATACGTTTTGCCACAGATTTGGGGCTACAAAATATTTATGGTTGGACGTGATAATAGGGGCTCGTTTTTCCACAAATCCTCTGGAATATTTATTTATTAGCGCTTCCCAATGTCCCAAAATGGTCTGTATGTTGTGGTCCAGTTACGAAAATCTCAAACCCCAACAGATTGTCTTATAATGGTTCAATAAGTTTGTTTAATTTTTATTTGATGGCACTTTTTGCGGTGGGGAAGTCGAGGAAGCCAATCTTCTGTTTAACAGATGGCTCTCGGCTGTTTTATACCAGATGTTATGTGCTTCATATTTTTTTTCTCAGGTGATAACAACCTATCCATATGCTGCCCAAGACACTGATGAATTATCATTGCGTTTGAATGAGGTTGTTCGCGTTCTACCGTGGCCCGAAGGAATGGACGATGTAAGTATAGGCTGATATTGTCACCGCTACATGTTTATCAAGTTTTATTACCCAAGATTATTCTTTGTTCTCAAGAGCGTATATGTATTCTACCAAGTGACCCTCCAATACGATGAACGCTGTTGTGATCTGGATTATTGGTTGCCGAACGAATAGAAAGAGAATATTCGCTTATCCTCATGATTCATTTAGCCACAAATTAATTGATTCAGATAAACTCCATATGCGGTTGCGGTCAGCAATGACTCAGCCGGGTTTACTTAATCAGTTCGCCTAAATGTTATCCTCATTTCAATCATTCCATTGGTATGCTATACTATGAACGATACAATTTTCACGCAAGCGCAACTTAGAGATTGTGCAAAAACTGGATGTCGCAGCGAAATTTCGGACCGCACAACAGTATTGTTGCAATCACAGACTGCACATCCTCCGACACTGGTTGTGAAGGTCAATCGGAGGTCTATGGAAATACCTTCTTCGTGACACTTGCGCCTTATCTATGGTTGCAGTATTTTTTATGAGACAAGCCGGATCGGATGGTGAAAATCTGTATTGACAGTTGAAAATTGATGCACCGATTGCTTGAGCCGTGATTTCAAAAGTATACACGTGAACAAACACATCAGCACAGATGCGTGAACGCATTCTGAGTTTATCACGAATCATATGACAAATGAAAGAACTAGTAACCAACACATTACAGTCTGATTTGATATTTGTTCGTCACGATTGTTAAAAATATCTTACTTAGTGATTCTTTTCAACAGTAATCAATATGACGGTTGGTAGATTCAATCATAGGTGGCTAAGAAGCATGCTCCAAAATTCCGGGCCTCTTTATGCAATGACATTCGGCACGAAAGTGCCTGGTTAATGGTTGTAAAAACTGAACTGAAACGTATTCAACTTGGAGCATCAATATATATGTATATATATATATATCTTTGAGGAATGATTCAAACAATATCGCTCTTGCTAACTTAAGTTGCATTTCACACAAAAATCAGGACTATCCGGTGAAGTTAGAGATAACTCAGTGGAACTTCTATTTAAACCGTCTATCAGTAATCAAAGCCACATTCATGCAATCGCCTTGTCGATATGCATAAGGATAGCCCACTGGGAGAAAGACTCCGTTTTCTCCCGTTTAATTTATGTTGTATTGCTCGCAACATATTTATGCTAACTTATCAAATCTTGTCGTTTCCACCTCAAATGAACACTTGCTTGTGATTCCAGGAGGTCGGTTGGCTATATGGTGAACGGACTTCTGACGGGATGCGAGGCATATTTCCGGCAAATTTCACGACTTACAAGTAACTCACTTTGGAGCACTCATGAAGCTGTAATTGTGATTCGTTTACACGTGAGCCTCTTTGCGATCTATATAAACAAAATCGGACTGAAAATGATCACATAAACACACCGCTTGCATACCCATTCCATCATGTCTTCAGAGTCCCTTTTGTACACATTCTGTTTTGGCAGCCCATCACAACTTTAATAAATTAATCTGTACCTTTTTTGTCACAATATGCACACCAATGCTTCCTTGATATACACTTAAAGGTATTCTATCTTCAACGAAGGCAATCTGTCTCATAAGAATTCGCCAAAGCGGGTATTAAACGATATGGTGTTGCTACATTCGCTCAGTACAAAATCCAATNAGTGAGGACTTGGGCTAGTTATTGATAGTAAGTGTAGGCTAACTCACAGTTTGCCAGAGGCCAAACTTGCTCAGTGTATATCGTTTATGTTCAGTCCAGCTGTCATTAGCGGACCACAACGAATTGCCATCTGGATCGATTCTTAAATGACCATCTTTTGAAAACTGATGGGCAGCATATATGTATAATTATATACTTTGGGCACATGAAACTTGTTTTGATTAGACAGCTAGATGAAGCAAATCCGAAAGTCACGAACAAATCAGGTACATCGAAATGAATTATTAAAAAATCCCTATTTCGCTTAACGGTCGCCGTACCTTCGGTCTATTTTGGTCACCCGACTCCATACCGTTTCACACGACAGATTGTTCACACATTTTGATCTCAGCAATATTTACCTAGCTTTTGGCAACCTGTCTTTAAATAATGCATACAGTATACTCCGGTCCAAAGTATTGTGCTCTGAGTGACAAATTTAAAACTGTTTTGGTACAGAAGTTACGGGATCACCGCTGTGAATGTCATCATGTGATCGAACACACATGTTAAACTACGCACGTCATTCGGACAATGCAATACCAATTTCACCACACTGAAACCGGTAACTTTGGTCTGATTTTCAGCCTTGTTCATGAGGGCAATTTTGTTTGTTCGGTCTGCTTCCATTGCGTGGGAAAATTCACAATCAGGAATTCGTAATTTTGACGTTATGGTGATTGGTGGAATCAGCAAACGCAAATGAGTTATCAAAATCCGACGTACCATGTGCGAACACTATCAATGCCAAGCATCCATCGATCTTAGTTAGCGCGTGCCATGGAGCTGTTATACCAAATAAGGCGGTATCAAACCTTTTCTGGCTCACTGAAACTGAAACAATCCGACACTGGTAAGTCAGTACTGAGACGTGCTTCTATCGAGAACGAAATGAATTCGAATATCTCCAGAGTTAAAACAAGGATAGGTGGCGTCTGCAACGTTAGCTCACGTGGAGACTCAATAAACTGGTGGGCAACAAGAACTGGTGGGACAGGAGTAGACGCTGCTTCAGGGAATAACCAAAGACTGTTTCAACTGATAAGCAACACGGGATGTCGGCGAACACCCGTTGGTGAGACAGCCTGCGGTAAAGTAGAGAAGCTATTCACAATAAATAGCAAAGGCTTTAGTTGTGGGCAGAGAGCATCAGCGAACAATTCTGTTGGTCTGGCGCTAATTGGATCATCTCATCTGCAACCCAAGCTTCGTGGACAGCGTCGCGAAGAAGTTGTGCAGAAGTCCAACCTTACATTGAAGCTCTGAAGAGGAGAAAGAAGCAGGACCGGAAGGGCTCCTTCTCACTCTATTCAAGATGGGAGCTGATAACCTCGTCAACCCTATTACTACCGTACTGCGTAAAACTTGGACGCAACAGCCCATTCCATCATCTTGGGCGAGTCACTGATTGCTCCAATTTTCGAGAAGGGATTTTGCTACGAATACGTATACCACCGCCGGATAAGTTTGATCCCAATCCTTCGATCTCTGATTTCTTTAAGAGAGATCAAAATCCATGAACGATAAATCGGATTTCGGCCTGGTCCGGGATGTATTTATTGATCAAATTTTCACGTTGCGTCACACCCATCGTCAACCAACGATAGCAGTGTTTTTGGAGCTAAGAACAGCCTACGAGTCAGTTGGGCGTGAAGCCAGAACGGGTTGATATCTTCAAAAAGGAATGTCCCAGAAGTACGCCAGCTTACTTAGGTCACTGTAATCGTATACTTCTGGTCGACTGACGGTCTATAACGAACTAAGTAGATCGTTCGTCACCCGCAGCGCGCTAGTCAAGGGTCTCCTATTTCGTGATTCCTGTTAAATTTCTTTCTGGACGATATACCGGAGAACGCATCAAATAGTCTCCAAAATGTTCGTATTTAATGTGCAGCTGAAGGAAAGCGGTGCGATTTAGAGTAGGCCGATTACATTACCTGTCTGCTTGGAGGACGCAAAAAGGGTACTTGTTAGATTACGAAGTGCTGTAACCCCATTCGGTATAAGCTTTACACCTTCAAAGTGCACCGTGATGCTACAAGAGCGGGTGTCGCCTAGTCCCACTTTGAAGCTAAATGGCCAGGAATTTGTTATGGTGGATCGTTTTTCTTACATTGGCAGTTACCGGAACAGTGACGATAGTGCATGGAAGGAGATGACCGCTGGCCTTTACAAGGCTCCAGAAGCGTACCTCTTTTTTATCTTTTATTTCACGTGCTTTTGTTAAATAGATAATGAAACAATTTTCAGGAATGGTGAAGCGCCTACTCACAGGGCTGGAATACAACACACATGGAGCAGGAAATTCAGACGGTGGTGATCGGATTCGAACACACGTCCTCGGAGGGATAATTTGATATCGAAACATCTTTAGTGTGGACGCGACGTTTCATTGAAGTTTAGAGGTCGTGTTTATTGTGCCACGGTTCGTTCAGTTCTACTTTATGGTTTTGAGATCATGAATTTACCAATAGAAGATACCCATCGACTGGAGGTTGTGGACTATCGGTGCTACTTAGTTTGACACACTTGAGAAATAGTAATCTAGAGGTGAGGAGTCGTGGTTTGGGAGTTTGTCGGCGACAAATTAACTAGTTCATCGAATTCAGATTATCATGCGTAAGTTGGTTAGGACAGGTATTGCGTATGCCCAACTGTCGTCTACCTCACCACGCATTATTCATGTAGCCGCTACGGGTTTAAGGAAACCACGTGGAGATCAACAAATGACGTAGCATGAAGAAACGCACAGAACTATTAGGTAGAGTCTCCCGCCTTCCATGTCGGGCCTAAAGGACTGCAACCAATTAGTTGGAGACATTGAGAGATACAGCGGCAAACCGACAGCAGTGGTGCTCTTGTTGTCATTTCTTATTAGGTCAGAATGCTTGAAAAGGAATATAAGCATTGTTAGATTGTGTACTCCGTGTGTTGACCATGGAGATCCACTCGCATTCCTTCTTGAAAAGAGGTATAATCCCTTTCCACTTTACATATCACCACTAACGTTACATGAATTTCGAGTTGGGCAACGATCAATGAAGTTCGCTTCATTGTATTTCGCTTTATGGTGATGATGATGATGATCTGTGAACTGCTTGGTAGCAGTAACGATCAGAGAACAACCCATTGGTCGTTTCCAAGGCTAGTGCGGCCTGATTCATTGTTTTCTGTTTATTTCACAAAAGGAATATGAAAAAAATTAAGACCAAAGTAGAGACCAACTTTTATTGACTGAATGGGTGGGCGACTAATAACGTTCGTAACGGTAATAGGCAGTATTGTTGAAGTGAATACATGATG